ACACACACACACAGTCAGACACACACACACAGTCAGACACAAACACACACAGTCAGACACACACAGACACAAACACACACACAGTCAGACACACACACACAGTCAGACACACACAGTCAGACACACAGACACAGTCAGACACACACAGACACAAACACAATCACTCACATTAACACTTTTTTTTATTATTTATTTATATTGTAAGTCATTCTTGTTTTTTTAAGCCACAAAATTTTCTCCAAAGGAGAATTTCTTCACTAAATATCTGAATGCAAGCTGTTTCAATATACTTTTAAATCAATTTTTTATTTCACTGTAAACATTTTTAAACATACTCCTTTGGCGGCATCTTGTGGCTAAACTCCATATTACACTCACTTAAAATTTAAAAACAAAGCTGTGTTCTTGGCACCACCGATCCCTCTGCACTCCCTCTCACCCCTCCTATCGGGTAAATAGGATAGGAGCACGCATTAGACCTCACCATAGGAAGGCACTGAATCAATGCTTTCCTGTGGGGAAAATCTGATGCTGGAGGTCCTCGTGCAGGGTGTGAGGATGTCCAGCGACTGATAACGGACCAAAAATCGGTTATGATTCTGGAAGCACCCCCGATGGCTGTCTGGTAGACAGCCACTTAGGGCAGACTTAGAGCTGCAATGTAAACATTGCAATTCTCTTGAACTGCAATGTTTTACATTGCAGCACAAAGTGCAAAGGGATGCAGCACACAGACAACTTCAATGAGCTGAAGTGGTCTGGGTGCCTACAGTGTCCCTTTAAGTTTAGCCTCAGAATAGCATACTTGATGGTCAATGAGCAATAATTTGCACAGAAACATTCCAAAATCTGTGGGAGTGGAAGCTGCTTCAGCTGCAAAGGGGAGACCAACTACATATTAACATCTATGTATTTAGAATGCAATGTAATAAAAAGTCCCTGTTGGTGTAAAGGTCGGGTGTCCCAATATTTTGGCCTAGACTTACAAACTGAAGGGGAAGCAGAACCTGTCCACTCCACTTTAGCCCCTATCATCCCACATACAACCTCACAAGTAGCCTCCACACACAAACACACACATCTCCTAGCCCTGTCACCATAGGCGTGCGCACGGGGTGTGCCGGGTGTGCCTGGGCACACCCTAATCCCCGTGCGCACCCCTATGGTTTGAGTCCTGCAGGAACAGCGTTCCTGCACTCTTTTGAGCAGGAACGCTGTTCCTGCAGGCACTCAGTGTCCCGCGTCTCACCTCTTGCCCCTGTCATGGGAGGGCAAGAGGTGATGATTCCCACCCTGCAGCTCAGCGCGCGGCGAGGGAGCTCTCTGCTCTCTGCTCCCTCTCGCCGCGCGCTGATGCCGGGAGCCGGAATATGACGTCATATTCCGGCTCCCAGCTCGAGCAGACAGCCCGCGCGGCGAGAGGAAGCAGAGAGCAGAGAGCTCCCTCGCCGCGCTCTGAGCTGCAGAGAGGCGCCCGCCCCCACTGGACCCCAGGGAAAAGTCCACCAGCACTCCAGGTAGGAGGCTGGGTGGACATTTAAAAAAAAAATTAAAATATAATAATTTGTGTGTGTCTGTGAGTGTGTGAGTATGTGTCAGTGTGTGTGTGTCAGTGTGTGTGTGTGTCAGTGTGTGTGTGTGTCAGTGAGTGTGTGTCAGTGAGTGTGTGTCAGTGAGTGTGTGTGTGTGTCAGTGAGTGTGTGTGTCTGTGAGTGTGTCAGTGTGAGTGTGTGTCTGTGAGTGTGTGAGTATGTGTCTGTGAGTGTGCGAGTATGTGTGTGTCAGTGTGTGTCTGTGAGTGTGTGAGTATGTGTCTGAGAGTGTGTGAGTATGTGTGTGTCAGTGTGTGTGAGTGTGTGTCTGTGAGTGTGTGAGTATGTGTCAGTGTGTGTCTGTAAGTGTGTGAGTATGTGTCTGTGAGTGTGTGTGTCAGTGAGTGTGTGAGTATGTGTCAGTGTGTGTGAGTGTGTGTGTGTCAGTGTGTGTCTGTGAGTGTGTGAGTATGTGTCTGTGAGTGTGTGTGTCAGTGAGTGTGTGAGTATGTGTCAGTGTGTGTGTCAGTGTGTGTCTGTGAGTGTGTGAGTATGTGTGTGTGAGTCTGTGAGTGTGTGTCAGTGTGTGTCTGTGAGTGTGTGAGTATGTGTCTGTGAGTGTGTGTGTCTGTGTGTGTGTGTGAGGTCTGTGAATATATATACGTATATATATATGTGTGTGTATATATATATATATATATATATATATATATATATATATATATATATATATACACACACACACACACACACGCGCGCAGCGTGTGTTTGTGCTTTAGGGTGCACACCCTAATGCAATAGGCTGCGCACGCCTATGCCTGTCACATCAAGGGTGCATAATTCAATGATGCACTATAGAATATTGCAATTTTATGTATTTTGTGTAGTACATACATTGGTACGTAGTAGAGGTGGTATGTCCACTTCAGCAGGAGACGGGTTAAATTGATTGTATAGGCATGTGATAGATGTCAGAAGGTTTACAACATGAATTTCCCTTTTGAGCTCCTCTGCCAGATGCGAAATTATACACGAGTTACCTTTAAGTCTAGCTTCAATGCAGAGGTGTAACTAGAAACCACCGGGCCACCAAAACGCCTCCATGTGTATCATTTCCTCTCTCCAACCCATCCATGTGTCTCATTCCCTTCCCCAGCTCCTCCATGTTTATCATTTCCTCCACTCAGCCCCTCCATGTATGTCTTTCCCTCCCCCCAGCCCCACCATGTTTAACTTTTTTTTTCCCAGCTACTCCATGTGTCTCATCCACCCCCCAAATTCTCCATGTTTCTCACTCCCTCTCCCCCATCTACTCCATGTTTATCGATCCCTCCCCCCAAGCCCCTCCAGGTGTATCATTCCCTCCACCAAGTCCCTTCATGTGTATCATTTTCTTCTCCACCCCAACCCCTCCATGTATCTCATTCCCTCCCCCAAGCCCCTCCATGTGTCTCATTTATTTTCCCCGAGGAACCTCCATGTTATTATTGTTATCATTATTATTGGCATTTATATAGCACCAACAGATTCCGTAGCGCTTTACAATATTATAAAAGGGGGAGATATAACAATAAAAAAGACAATTACAAAAACTTACAGGAACGAGTGATTTGAAGAGGACCCTGCTTAAACGAACTTACAGTCTATAGGAGGTAGGGTATAAAACACAATAAGACAGGAGATAGCAATCAAAAAGGGTGGGAGTGAAGCAGAGCTGGAAGAGAGAGTAGAGTGCTGCCCTTTAGGAGAGCGCAAGAGACAGGTATGTGAGGTAGAGGTTACTCTGGGATGCCATAAACTTTCCTGAAGAGATAGGTTTTAAGGCACTTCTTAAACGATTGAAGACTGAGCCTGATGTTGGTAGGCATGCTATTTCACAGGAAGGGAGTCGCCCGCGAGAAGTCCTGCAAGCGTGAGTTGGCCATACGTGTGCGAGCAGCGGACAGGAGAAGGTCATGGGCAGAGCGTAGAGACCGAGAAGGGGCAAACCTATGAATCAGTGAAGAGAGGTAGGAGGGGCTAAAATTGTTCAATGCTTTATATGTATGGATTAGCACTTTCAATTAATTTCTGTAGGATACAGGAAGCCAATGTAAGGAATGACAGAGGAGTGAAGGGTGAGAGAACCAACTGGAGAGGAAAATCAGTCTGGAAAATCCATGTCTTTTTCCCTCCTCCCAGCTCCTCCATGTGTCTCATTGCCCTCCCCCCATCCCCCAGCCCCTGCATGTATCCCATTCCCTCACCAGGACCTCCGTGTGTTTGATGCCCTCCCCCAGCCCATCCATGTGTATCATTCCCTTCCCCCCAGCCCCTTCATGTGTCTCATTCCCTCCCCAGCCCCTCCATGTTTATAATTTCTCTCTCCCCAGACCCTCCATGTGTCTCATTCCTGACCCCAGCCCCTCCATATGTCTCATTCCCCCCCATCCCCTGCATGTGTCACATTCCCACCCCAGGACCTCCATGTGTTTGATTCCCTCCCCCCAGCCACATCATGTGTATCATTCACTCCCCCTAGTACGTCCATGTGTCTCATCCACTACCCACAGCCCCTGCATGTGTATCATTCCCTTCCCCCGCATCCCCTGCATGTGTCTCATTCCATCCCGCCAAAACGCCTCCATGTGTATCATTTCCTCTCTCCAACCCATCCATTTGTCTCATTCCCTTCCCCAGCCGCTCCATATGTCTCATTCCCTCCCCCCAGCCCCTCCATATATATCACTTCTTTCCCCTAGCCATTCCATGTGTCTCATTCCCTCCCTTCCAGCCCCTGCACGTGTCTCTTCCCCCCTCCCCTCCTGTACCCAGGGCCGGCGCTACCTGTAAGGCGGACTAGGCAGCCGCCTAGGGCGCCCCTTGGGAAGGGGCGCCGCCAGGAGCGCCGGCCCCCCTAATCCTGCAGCCGCCCGAGCGCTCTGTGAAGAGCCTCAGGCGGCTGCAGCTTTTCCCGGGCTGTGCGTCCATGAGGGCGGACCGCACCGCCCGGGCGCAGCCTGAGGAGAGGCTGACAGGAGGGAAGCGCTGAGCGCTCCCTCCTGTCAGCTTCCTCTATGTAGCGTGGCCGAGCCCTGTATAGCCGGCGGGTACAGGGAGCAGCTGTCTCCTGTACCCGGCCGGACTAACAGGAAGTGCACACACTGTGTGCACTTCCTGTTAGTCCGGCCGGGTACAGGAGACAGCTGCTCCCTGTACCCGCCGGCTATACTAGGCTCGGCCACGCTACTACACAGGTAGGGGAGGGGGGAGAAGGAAACAGGGAGGGAGGGAGGGTGGAGAAGAAAGAGGGAGGG